GGCAGGGCGATCTCTCGGGGCCCCCGCAAGTCAAGATTTCCGATCATGGAACTGATGGGGGGGAAAGTAGGGGAAAAAACTGAAAAAGAAATTGGAACTCGAGAAAATCGCCATCGTAATTTTATAAGTCGCGGTACAGTAGTCTAATACTTCATTATATTTTCAATTAGTTTTTAACCTTAAATATTTAATTATAGTAATTACTTGTAAGATAGGGCTCTATGAAATAATTCAAATAAGGCTTACAGTAAAATAGGTTCTACTGAAATTAATATTTGTTATTCCGTGTATTTAACAAGTTATTTTATTAAACATTAACTGAACACAATATTTTTTAAGCTAACTGTGGAAACTGTAACACTTGATTACTAAATACTTTACTTAAAACTACAGTCGACTCCAGTTATAGTGAAATGGTATATAGTGAACCCTCGGGTATAGTGAACTTAAGTCACTGTTCCCGTTTCACTTACATCACAAATAAACATTAGAAGAGTAAGTTATAATGAACCTCGGTTGTAGGAAATACAACAACCTGGAAAATAATATATCGCCTCAGTACCACAAATTCCAACTAGGCAGCTTGAAAAAAATATCGACCAAAGGTCATAATCGAAGAAATCTCCCCTAAGGTGAAGGTAACGGACCCGAAATGGGGACGTCACTGATGACCTCATTCCACTGTTTCACTGCGCAAATGCCGTGTCCGGCGTGGGCTAGAACTGGCGGTGGCGAGACGCGACTGCTTGCTTCAGTTTTAAGCTTGATGTTACTCGATATTCCGCACGACAAAGCGCGTGGTCTTCTACGTAGTTAACAGGAAGCGCGCGACTGCCACGGCCCCACACCCTGGCGATATCCGCCGTGCAGCGCGGAAAAGCGACCAGTTCTATTAGCCGCTTGCGCCAAGTCGCTACCAAAATGATCTATGTTATTAGGCGAGTAAAAGGGCCTTCAAAGAGTAGGACTTCCAAAGGTGCAAGAGGCATTGGAGAGTGTCAAGACTGCATTGCGATACTTAAGAGACATTGGGCATTGCAAACTCACGTTTGCAGAGAGCACGTACTTTGGAGAAGGATCGAGAGAAATTACTAATGAAAAATATATGAAACAAACCATTGAAAATAATTGATTTTTTTAACGACAAAGAAAGATATTAAAATTTTAGTTTGTGCTGTTAATGTATTTTGCTGCATCTCTATATTAATAAAATTAATCGTTGTGGAAAACTTCTATTTAATTTTGACACCATCGAATATAGTGAACCCAAAATGATAGTTTCTAGAAGTTCACTACAACCGGAGTGGACTTTTTTTAAAAAATATATTTCCAAAAACTTTTTTTAGCTTAAACATTGTAATTTTTGTTATTTGCCATTATGTCCGTGGTATTGCCCTTCCCAGAAGCTTGCTTGCTATGTATTTTGTTTCTATTACTTTTAACATTGTTACTAGATGCAATCACAAGTTCATTTCATGTGGATGGTTTTTAAAAAACGTTTTAGTATTCATTTGATTATAAAATGGTTTTAACGAAAGTGCCTTTGTCTTCGGGTATATTAAAAAGATGTAGAATTGGTGTATTTTTAAGCATATGTCCAAAGGAACCCTATCCTTTCTCATTAAAAGTTATTATTATAATTACAGAATTAATATTATGCATTATATAAGTAACACAATATCCTCCATATTACTCTTCTAGTATTGTACACAATTTTTTCTTGGACCCTTGAAGAGTGTAAAAGAGGAGTTTTACAGTATTTATGCTTTAGCTTGTAGAAAAATATTTCTATATATTAGATTAAATGAACAATGGATTTATCTCAATTTCATTTATTTACAAGAGAGAACATAATTCTTACCCTAAAATTCTTCTTACATTTTGTTCTGTACACAGGATTACAAAATTATTTCATTTTTGGAACATATACATTGAACATTAAAATCCAGTAATAAAGGTTGCTGCATATACAAAAGATTTGATAGCACAATGTACAAATTTATTATGATACACTTTTTAAAATAAGTAATTTACCAATAAATCCTGCTTTAGATTTTAACATTTATTTTCTACATAAAACCAACTCTCATTTGTTCATAATTGCACATGAAAAATTATGTTGCTGGCTAATTTGAATCCAGTGTGGACTACTGAAAGTTCTTCATGAACTTCATTCTCTTCAATATTACATTGTCAGTCGAGATAGAGAGAATTAATTAGAAAGTTCTGAACCAGAAGGAACAATAGAGGTACACAGACAATAAATAGCACGTGTTCAATCTGAAACAAAATAACTTTGGATTAATAGAAGTTTAACATTTACTACTGATCCAGAATGAAATTTGTCAAAAAATATTGCTTAGTCTTAGATATTTTTTGATCAAAACCTTCTAATGAGCATTTAAAAATGTATGTTATATTATAGTCCATTTTTTACTCCCATTTAATTTATAATAAAAGTTATAAAATTAAACTTTTTTATAAAACTTAAAGTCTCCTTCAGTGCCCCGTGATACCGAATGGTATCAGCAAAATATTTCAAAAATGATACACGTAAATTAAAAATAAAAATGTGTATCCCAATAAACATGAAATCACGGAAGAATTTAAATAAATTATTTGGGTGTCAATGGGATTATTTGTAAGAACGCAGAACCCGGAAGTAGAGGCATTTATTTTACCTAAAATAGGCAGGCAAAAGGGCATTTATTTTACTAAAATAGGCGTGAAGAAAGGCATTTATTTGAGCTAAAGCATTAATTTGAGCAAAAATGGCTTAAGGGGCATAAACAATGAAAAATCACACTCAAATGGAATTATTGTAAACAATGAAAAATTAAAATGATTCATATTTTTATACTCTCTAAAATTTACATTAGCTCCAAACGTGTAAGGAAACTACCATCTCTTTGTAATCTTTATTCCACATGACCATCCGGTATATGATGGCTACAATTTTTTTTATTCACGAAGCTGTCTCTTCGAAATGATGCTGCTCCCTTATGAATGTTGAAATTGCATCAGTGAAAACGGAATTATTTGTGCTTCGCACTTGTGCCAGCACTGAGAAGGGTATATCATGCACCGAGAGCTAAAAAGGGATTCAAGGCCATACTCAAAAGTAGGATGGGATTCTTCATGAGCAATTAAAGCACTGGCATCAATGAAAAAAAAAATCAAAAATATTTTCTAACACAGCCTTAGCTTCCACAGAAAGATAAAAAAAAAACGACCGTGCCTTTGTATTGCTTAGTCTTGTATGTATATATCTACCTTGATCGAAATGTCAGCATGGAGAAAAAAAAAGCAAAATGAGTATAAGATAGAAAAAGGCAAAAATATGCATCAAAAGTTAAAACGGACAAAAAATGCAAAATGGAAATCTACTAAAACGACTTTAGAAGCACAATTAAGTGATTTATAAAGCCAAAGTCGTGAAATAGAAAAAATAACAAAAAGGCATTTTGACAAACTTAGATGTTTAAACGTTTTGTCGTCAATCGATTTTCGGTAAAGGACCCACAAAACATGGATTCTGGCTACTCATGTTAGAGGTTGTTTTTTTTTCCTTCAAATTTAGCAATTGAAAATTTTCCACTTTTTTGTTTTAAGATTTTCTGCCAAAAATTCGCAGTATTTCCCCGCAGCATTACATACCTTTCTCTCTAAGCGTAAGCGGTAGCGAGATAATAAAATATGAAGGTTATGTTCTTCACATTATCATCAGCCTACTTAAAAAACTTCCTGTGTAGATTAAAGGTTTCTGACATGATTGAAGGTAAGATTTTATTAATAATATTTTAGTAACCCTCCCATTTCGTCATCAGGCCACTTTCTTATTCAACTTTTTTATAATAGGACCTCATCCGAAAAAAAATATGTTAACACTGTGAAACTTATTTGAGTAGGATCCGAATTCTTAGGTTCTGGCTTACTATATTCCGGACCTGTTTCTCTCCAAATTTCAGTTTATTCCGATGTTTTATGTACCAACGAGTAATATACTTCAATTTGATGGCGCCCAAATTGACCTAATTTTACGTTAGGATCTAATACGACTTACTTTTCTTGATAGAACCCAAAAATACCTAATTCGGTTATTTAAACAAATATAGTTCATTTATTTATATAAAAATATTTTGAAAGACAAAAGAGATCGTTCGAATAATGAAAATGTAAAATAACTATGTTCTTATAAAATATTGCATAATATTACGGCATAATACTTGCAGTAATAAACTGTAATGAAGTCCGCCTTCAGTTTATATCATTTTACTAATTTCGGCTATTGCTGAATGGGGTTGTGAGTGGCAGAAAACATTTGAAAACATGCGATGTCCGCATGCCTCAACAATAAATTAAAAAGAGATGAAAACAGTTAAAAGCGCTATTGGTATGTCTTGCGCTCGTGCGACTCGCTTTGTCCCCGCAGTTGCCATATTAAATTAATTTTAAATGCAAAGCTTCCGGCTCCCGCCACAAAACCAATCATTGTCGAGCAATACCCCCCTCTTTTTTTCATTTATTTCTGCCTGTCCCAAGGGCCCTCAAGAGCAGAGTACTATATTTGAGGATTCATTAAATTATATTGGCAGTGTTTAGGAAACATTATTCACAGATGAATACATTGAATACACGTGGATTGAATGTGCGAAGCCACATCGGGTACATAATCAGGGGGAGGGGAGGGGCGAAGAACTGTCGCGGTAGCTTCCGCTTTAATCTGTTGTGGGAAATTTTGTTTCCCGATTTTGAAATGTACGGCTAAGGGAATCTGGGGAGATTTAGGATAGAAGCGAGCTGATAGGAGGGAAAAATGCACAGAGATCGGAGTGATGCCGATCTCGTTATGTAACTGCGAGTTAGGTACAAACCAGGGAGATTTTGTAATGGATCGGAGGAATTTATTTAGGAAAATCTGCATTTTTTGGTATTTGATTTGCTGAGCCCCAGATAGGAGAAACGTAGGATAAGATTGGACGAATCATTGATTGGTATTGATGAGAAGCTACATGAAATCGCAGGGATGAAGGCTATTTTAGTATGGGATGTAATTGGTGGGTTATATGTGTGCCAGTTATTCTAAGAAGAATATTTGATTTCCAAGCGAGCCTCCCAAAAAGACACCAAGATATTTGACTGGCTTGTTGTTTGGGAACCAAGAAATTTTTTCTTCTTGATACTTGAGAGGGGGAGGATTTTTTGGTCGGCTGAGGGAGAAGATTTTGGCCTTTTTGCTGGGTTTATCCGGATATGCCATTTCCTGGCCCAGACGGAGAACTGGGAGAGTGGATGTCGCAGGTCTTCTTGTGCGGAGGTAATATCACGGTTTAAGGAATATATTGTAGCGGTACAGAATTATTAAAACAAATTAAATTGAGTAAAGCAGACCTAAGAAATTTTTAACTGAAGAAAAACATGCGGCGTCACGCGCGCAGCCCCCCTTCTTGCAACAGCCACGGTCCCCTGACCCATTTCGAATGTTTATGACACCCCACCCAACAGCCGAAGAAGCGGTAGATTGTAAAAGCGCCCAGCGGGAGCCCACATCTGGAATACTTCCGAAACGCCTGTCATCGTGATCGGGGAAACCCGAAGCAATAATTCAGTAGCCGGGAAGCCCCTTCAGAGACGTGGCCTACTTTCGAAACAGAGAATGGAAAAATCCTATACTCCGCCGGAGCCCTATTGGCCAAATTTAGTGTACAACGCCATCACCTTTAGCCAATAGCGACGCGACCGTTGTAGGGAGCAAGAACATACGAGGAGAAAGGGTGAGGATAAAAGTTAACTTCGTGCGTTTAGGAGAAATAAAATTAGAATTGGACCGACTGAGCTAGAACCGGGCCGCTAACCGCGCGTTTCCCTGCGCCGGGAGGTGTTACAATATATCGGTAGCATCAGCAAATCGTGCAACTGAGACATGTCAAGTGGATAGTATATCGGCGATATAGAGATTAAATAGTGCGGGAGAACAGTTCCTTGCGGAACTCATTTTATGGGAAAAGATGATAAAAGAGCTCCAGGAAGGCGGACTGAAAAAGTGCGATCTGCAATGAAGCTTTTGATAATATAAGATTGGAGGAGATTCCGAAGTGAATAAGTATTAATAATAGTCCTGGCTGCCAGATGGTGTCAAAGGCTTTAGCTACATCGAGGAAGATTGCGACTTTTGTGTTTCTTTTCATGGAACCCTTCGATTATGTCTCCGGTCAGTGGTGGTGATTAGTGTTCAGTGGAAAGTAGTGGTTGAAAACTGAATTGGAGAATTGGTGGCGGAGGTATGGCTGGGACTGAATTGAGATGGGAAAGTAATCTGATGATACATTTTTCAAACAGTTTTCCTAAGGAGGGCAGTAAGCTAATTGGCCGATAACTTGACGGGTCGTTTTTTGGCTTGCCTGTTTTCAGAATGGGAATAATGTGGGCGTGTTACCATACCTGCTTTGCGATAACAGAACGCGATAATAGAACGTATTATTGCATCTTCCATTATAGGATGTTCCAAGAATTAACATACATTTTAAAAGCCAGCGGCAAAATATCTAACTTTTAAAGAGACTGATCATAAAATCATTTTTTGCATACCAGCATTATATTCGACCTTCATCACTCATTCAACCGATCGCAGCGGGAGAATAGTGGGGAGGTGGAGGTAAAGGGCACACCCACCACCGTTTCTCGTGAAGATGTCAAATACTCGAAAAGTCACAAGAAAGTTGTTTCGCAAAATTAAGTTTAATTCTCTTATAACTTTAAAATGCTGTTATACAAACAAATAGGGTATACAACTCGTTTATAATGTTGCTTTGTTGCATTCGTACAAATTTGAAAACTCGCTCCTGGCTTAGCTCAATTTCAAAACATACTCATGCAATAAAGTTTAACAATATAAACTAATTTCATAAACTACTATTACAGTGTTATTATTGATCAATTAATTGCATTACAAAAATAATATCTAGCTTTAACAATAAAGATATAGGGAAAGATATGAATAAAGATAAATGTAATTTTCGAAAGACATTTTAATGAAAACTATACTTTTATTGTTTTAATAAACGCTTTCCGACAGTCCTTTACTCAGGCAAAAAAAAATAAAAAAGATGAGTATCTTTGAGAAAATTTTGAAAATGATGTTTATGCGTCATATAAGGTACCCACACAAGTCGAAAGATCCATTTCCAATTTGCAGGGCTGTAACCCGAGCTAGATTTGCTGGAAAAATTTCAAATTTATAAAAATCACTATGTTGTAGACATGATTTTATGGTTAAGTGTTTCTCGACTTAATTATTACAATACTTTTGGATCCTGTGATAATAATTTCATTTAATTTCAACACTGATTGTACCACTGGGAGATCATACCCATTAAGGCAAAGGGAAACTAATTTAAATAACATTTATGGATGTTATGGCTGAATAAGCATTTCAAACATATACTCGGTGAAATGTATAACCTACTTTCAAATCAACAAAACAAATAATTTTGTTCCATTGCTAAAGCAAAAATTACCAAGGGTAATGAATGTGTTATTCATAAAACTTAATTGAAAACCATTTTACTGATGGTAATAGTAAAATTACATTACTGAAAGAATACTGGAATTTCAGTTAAGGAAAACATGAAGTATTTGTATAAACACAAAAGATACAATGATAACAAACCTTTTGGCACTAGGTTAGCGGTGAGATCGAGCAGGAGACGCCAAATCCAACAAAGACTTGCAAATTGCTTGACTTATTTCCTGTGATTCGGGTGCCTCCGAAATTACCCAAGTATCATCAGTACTATCCAAAGTCTCGCGACAAATTGGGCAAGTTTTGTTATTTACATTCCTGAAACATCAAATATAACAGTCTTAAGTAATTAAAGCAAGTCAAAATTTTAAATGTCCATGAAAACGAAAAAAATGAATGTTTAGTAATATAAATACGCACAATAAAATAATTTGAGAATTATTTTATATAAATTTCATTTTACTTCAAAATAACTTATTGAAAATTAAGAAAACGTTATAGGTAATGAAAAAACCACACAACCAAAATGCAATATGAAAGGACTCAAAAAAAATATTTTTTAGACCAAAATTGTTAAATAAAATTATTTACTAAAGGGAGAACGGGCAAATTTGGGTCGGGAATATCGAAATTGACCAGAGTGGGGAAGCGGTCACTACAATGTAGTCGCCAAGAGCAGTCCACTCAAAGATGGTAGAGAAAGATGGACTGCACAAAGCCAGAACAACGGTAGAGAAAGTGTTTCAGGTCATGGGAAAATGTGAGATTTCGCCAGTATTCACAAGAATTATATTCTGGTTGTCAATAATGTTTTCAAGCTTCTTGGCAACCCTAGGCGGGATTGTGGGCAATAAAGTCCCCCACAATAAGAAAAGGGGCGGGCAACTGATGAAACACATTTTCAAGTTCTTGGGACATGACATGGCAAGGATGAATGTCAATATATGCACAAGTATACATAGACAAAAGAACGGTAGGTGTATCCGGACGCAAAGTTTGAACGTTGGTTCGAACGTTTTGTTCCTCAGAGTCACGGATAAGTACCGCGACACTACCGTGAGCACGGAGTCCTTCATCTCGAACAAATCGAAAGATACTTAACCTGCGAAGACAGAGGAGATGATGAGGAAGAAGAGTTTCCTGAAGGCAGACTAGTGTGGGGAAATTTTCAATCTCAATTCTTCTGAACGTGCACGAAAGCCGTTTAAATTCCACGAGAGAGCCATTGTAGGGAATTACGTCATAGGCTTTTTTTTCTTTCTCGACTTCTCAAAAGTTATAGAGGTACTCTCGTGATGCTCCTCATCCTGACTGCTGCTGGAGAAGGTCGCCTGGGCAGGGGGGATTTCCCGTTTTTTGCCACAGGTGACCGAGACCTACAGGGGCTGGAGGATCGCTCAATGCGAGTCTCGGAAGTAGTAAGACGACGGATCTCCGATAAAGAATTTTTGTTCAGAAGCGATATCTGACTGGAATCTATTTCTTTATGGGGCTCTGTGTTCTGTGGCTGGTGGAGTTTTGAATAGGTTTTTTTAAAACTTCGTAGGTATTATTTTTCCACACTGGATGCACACCGTGTCTTCATGGACCTGATCTGACCACTGAAGTGCGCTACTAGGGTAAGACCACGTTGCTTGACAAATTGTTGATACTCCTGAGGATTTAGTCTTTTTGGTACTGGAGAAGGATCGCGACAGGTCTATTGGATTTTTAGCCAGGTGCCGGCGTTTGGATTCAGGTAAGGAAACCTTTTCGGTGACTCTTATCTTCTGAACCTCTCTTTCCCGGAGAAAGGTTGGGCACTGGTTGTAGTTGGTTAGCGCAGGGATGTGGATCGTGCTCAGATGCACCGCACTTCCCGCACACTGGGCTTACCGACAAAGATTGTTCTTGAGTATGCCGAAATCTCTGACACAAAACAGCACAAAACTTTTTGGGACATACTGTTGCTAATGGAGGTGATCTGTAGAGAGTTGCAGAAATCACAACTGATCCTTTCCGGGAGGGACGAACGGTCAAACGTAAGAGTTACGGTTGAAGTAGATATTACATCACCTGATCTTTACTTTTGCTCCAATACACTTTAGTTACCCCCTGACTCTTGTTTGTGGCAAATGATAAAATTAAAATGAGTGGGTTAACTGGATCAGGGGGCAGTTAACCAGATGCTGCAGATGACGGCATATTAAACATGTGTTCGGGCCCTGACAGAAGGTACAACGAGAAAAAACAGAGAAACGACTGTATGGAGAAAGAAACAGATGTGCTTCCTTTATCGCTATTTGTAGGAAAATCAGGAAGACTAAGACCAATAATGCTCCATGTCATAGAGATCAATCTTAGGAAAAGCAAACAGACGCAAGACCTTCTGAACCAGGCCGCTTCAGAAACAAAAGCTGGCCCGCTACTGGTTAGCAAATAATACGATGCGGCTATGAAAATTCCTCAAGAAAAGCGAGCGTAATGTTCAAGAAGCTTAGGGCACAAGCATTCAAGCAGACGAAGTTTAGGTTGTTTAGGGGGAAGTAAATGAGGTTAGGATTTACAGCTGTTACTTCCCTCGAGACAACATAATGAGAAATCAAGGACATCAATGAGCTTGAAGTTAGCAGTTATATTGGCGAAAGACAAAGTAGTTTCAGGAGGCGACTTTTAGGTCAGATAAGAGAGAACATACTGTTTGCGAGTTTGTCCCAAGAAACTCCCTAGTAATTCTAAACAAAGGTGATACGTACATCTTCCAACGGGGAAAAGCTTCATCTATTCTGGATATCACTATAGACTCCACAAACCTGACTGGCAGATGTCATGGATTGGGAAGAACTGGGCGAGGAGGCACTTGGCGATTAAAAATACATACATACATAGGGCTTTCCGTCGGCGTAAATAAGATGTTTCATCCTGACGCTGCTAGACAACAAAGGTAGTGCACCTTGGAATGTAAAGAAGTTACGGGAGGAATCCATACTAAGGAGCATTGGCAGGACGAGAATTACGTAATCTCTCGAGGAAATAGCCCGAGAAACCAAGAAAGTAGTGATTGTGATGCTTCGATGCCCAGACGCAGACGCCCGAGGAGCAAGCCACGTGTCTACTGGTAGGCGCTTGAAATAGTGGAACACCGCCAAACTGCATCAAGGAGAGACGACCAGGGCCGGATCTAAGTAGTGCGGGGCCCCAAGCACAAAATTGTGTTGCCCCCCCCCCAAAAAAGCTCCATCTTTATTAAACAAAAAATGTATTATAGTACAAGTACTTTCTGTAAGATACAAATGAAAACTGATATTTTTTATAGAAATTTTTACTTGTGTTACATTTTTTTACATTAATACATTTTACATACTTTTTTCTGCTCTTCACAGCAGAAAATTGGCAGATGTCTTCAAAACGAAGATTTCTCAGCGTATGTTTTGAAATTATACATTTTGTTACACAGTAGACTACTCGGTTAACAACTATTTCACATACAGAAAAATACGGTAAGCGTATTTTTCCGAAACGCGGGGCCCCTGGTGAATGGGGGCCCCCAAGCAACTGCTTGTTTGGCTTGTAGGTAAATCCGGCCCTGGAGACGACTAGCGACGAGAGGCAAGACAATCATATCTCTACGGAGATGAGTACAAGCGTTCTCGCAATCTGCTCCAGAAAGACTAAAAGAAGCAACGCCAGAGGTTGAAATATACTCATACAAGATATTGAAAATGACCCTAGGGGGATGGTCTATAAAATCGTAACTAAGAAATTTAGGGAGGGCAGAAAGACACCTGGAGTAGATCCACACTGGATGGAGAACGTAATAAGCGATCTCTTCCCTATTAGGGATCCCTGGGAAAGAAAGATCGAGCGTCTTTTTTTAAGTCGAAAACGGTCGGTTAACGTTGGAAGAACTGCGGACAGCTGGAACGAGCATAAAATAAGGGAAAGCGCCTGTCTTCGACGAGATACTCATTTTTGTCTCAGAGCAGTAATCTGAATGCTTGTTATCTGGGTCGAACTACTGCCTTAAGAATGGAACACTCCCCAAGCGGTAGAAGAAACAGAACCTCGATTCTTTCAGAAGGGTAACTAGGCGAAAGAGCTGACTTCGTCTTTTAAACCGCTTTACCTCGTGGGTACAGGGGGCAAATTACTTGAGGGTCCAATTCTTTCATGTTTCGAGAAACACTTGTCAAAAGGGACACATTTGTGTCACAAACAAATCAACAACGGACGCCATCATGAAGGTGATTAGTATTGAAAAACCAAAACGAAAGAAGAAGACAGAATTTTGGGAGCTAGTAGCCTTAGATATCGGAATACTACTTCTTGAGAATGACCAAAAATTACCTTCACCAGAGGAGTATAGTCTACACGGACACATTCACAATTGAAGATGCGGCACAAGGTTCTAGTTTGGGCTCATTCTCATGAAATGTCTTGTACGAGGGATGTACTGTATTGTTTTACATTTTATTTTTTGTACGTCCGGATATGGTTCACATTTCACTTATGACGTGTAACTAGTGTCTTGTTCCCTATTTGGTAGCAGCACACGCATAGGGGTCAATGCATGCACTCGGCATATACATTTCATAACAACACGTAAGCGCAGACGCGTAAGAGCAGACAACATGTAAAGCAACCATCGGAGACAGCGCTATACGACTTAGTTTCTACAGAAAGGAGACGTGATCACAGTAGCAATTCATTGGCGCTTGGGGCAGTCTGTGGTAAATGTATCAAGGGCAGTTTACAACTGCATGACAGGGAGAAAACAGGGCGCACATCGCTGGACAATGAAACCAGTTCTGGAAGGAATGTGACAGTTTCAAAACCAGCCAACATTGCCCAGGTCGAACAGGCCATACAAAGAAACAAATCTTCACATTTAGGGAAATGGAGGTAGACACGAGAATTAGCGGAAACACCCTGTAGCGGATCGTGTATGGCCAATACAGTTTGGCAAGGGAACATCCGGGTGGGTGCCTAGACTCTTGTCTGCAGACCAAAATCAGAGGCGTGTGGACGTGTGCAGATAACTTTTGCAACGCCATAATCAAGATACAGCCAACTACATTGCTACGCTTGTGACTGGTGATGATACATTGCCCCATTACCAGGAGCCACAAACGAAACAATCGATGCACTGGAAGCACAGAGGCAGTCCACCACCAAATGTCGACCAGAACAATCAATTGGCAAGTGAATGGTGACCGTGTTCTGGGACACAAAGGGCATCATCCTCATTGATTGGGTGGAATTTAGGGCCACGATTAACAGTGCAGCATATGTGGCAACCCTTAAGCGCTTACGCCGTGACATTCAAACTACACGGTCAGGAATATGGACTAAAGGCGTGCTTTTGCAACATGACCATGACCGCCCCCACACTAGCCAAGAGATCACTGATCAAATGGGGGTCTCGGTGCTGCCACACCCACCATACCCTCCGGGCTTGGCATCAAGTGATTGTCACCTGTTCGGGAACATGAAGAAACCCTCTGAGTGGTCGCCGTTTCGCGGATGTTGAACTGCACGCCCTACATTAACAATACTTCCGATAAGGTAGCGAAGATAGCAATACGTCCATATTAATGCCACATATGGGTGGCCCGAGAGAGGCGAAGCCTAGAATGCCCCAGTTGACAAACTCGGGATCGTTTGCGTGAGGCTGAAGTACGCACAAGTACAAAGCTGAAATACAAAGGTTGGCGCCGATAATAGCGTCAGCTTTCCGCACGGTCTCTGAAAGCTGTGGAGTTAGTGTTCGTGCTGTTGGAGTTAGAGTTCGTTAGAGTTAGTGTACCGTTAGGAGTAGAGATCTGTTGGCAAGAGAAAGAAAAGCCGTGTACGACGAAGTGAAGCTCACTGACCCCGAAGAACTTCCGCAACGGACGAAATCAAGGTGAGTGGATGAACATCTTACAGAATGAGAAGGGGTTGAAATCAGATACCAAAGGGATTATATCGCACATCGTACCGTGGCTCAATAGAAATAATGGAGGGGACAATAGTGTATGCGTAGCATACGGCATTTTATGGAGAAGTCTGAACGAACGTGTAAATTTCTCCTTTAAATATAGTGCAGTTTGTGTTAAAATAAGAGAGAGTGGAACACAATACAAGAGTGCCTGACCACTGTCATGAAAAGAAATGAAGGACGGGTCCGTTTAATTCTGCAGCAATAGCTCAGCTACTTGACTGTCTATCCATGAAGTAATGTCTCGCGGTGGTTTCCGTGGAGAGATGCAAGGGCACCAGAAGAGAGTTTTTAGAGGGATGGGAGTCACATTAATCATGAATAATTCATCTTAATTCTTGGCGATACTTACAATCACATCTACCATAGGCTGTTAATAAAATTGTAGAAAACCCAAAAGAACTCATGGAATTGCTCACGCGCTGCACCACTTACTTACTACCCAAAAGCAGAGACAGTTCTTTGGCGAAGAACTACATCACTTGTTTGCCTGTAATGTACTAAGTTACAACTGCAGCCATTACTAACAAGAAGAACAGACACCTAGAGACGAACCATCTGTTGCCAGACGAACAGAAAGGAGGTCGTCATGGTTCCTATGGCTGTAAGGAAATCTTGCTACCAAAGTCATCTTGAATGATGTACGGATACGAAAACGTAATTTAAACATGGCTTTTATTGTCCACCAGAAGGCCTTTGACAGTGTACCACACGATTGGATTTTTAAGACCCTGCACCCTGCTATATCGATTTTATCCTAGGTGAGTTTTGCAAGAGTAGTATAAAGTCGTAGAGTACCAGGTTACCAACAAACAGCGGAACGGAAGTAGTAGAAACAAGACGGAAGCTAATTAACAGAAGAATTTCCCAAGGAGATTCGCTATCCCCTCTGCTTTTTTGCATTAGATTAGTCCTAAGATCTAGACTAGGGTTGTCCAACTGGCGACCCGCGTCAGTCCATTAGTCAAAAATGGAAGTATCTTACATCCATGTCAGGCGAGAACATCGCGCTTAGCGCACGCGCCCTATTGTAGTCAACATCCTCTTAATGTAAAAATAGATTTTTAAATTTAAGAATTATCTTTTACAAGTAAATTGAAAAATTAAAAATCAGTCCACGTGTTTCCCTGTGTTATGCATGGTACGACTTAATGTCACTCATGGTGTTGAGGTTGCGAAATACTCTTACGATACGTTGGGAGAGCAATTAGTAGAAGCTGCAACGTAACATCGCCTCTTCTATTCAATAGTTTTTTTATCAAACAAGAGTGTTCACGACACAATTTCGTCGTTTGTACTTCGCGTTTCGACTGCATCCAGTGCCTCTGATGACAATGCACGTTTGTGACGCGTCGTGGCGTCTGAAGTGGAAATCACTGGACTCCGCGAAATTTTGACAATGGTATATTTCGCGGGGCTGCCCAGGAGCTGAAGCGATCTTTCGGTGACGCTCCGAACTAACAGGAAGCAGTTGATAAACTACGTCAAGGAACTTTGTACGAAAGAGGAGTATTTGGTCAACCAGCGCGGCTTTTTGAAGTAGATTTAGATCTCCTGAGCGCAAAGTTTGAAATGTATGATCCTTCCCTCTGAAACGCCTTCACAGAACATCAAAAGTGCCTTATTAGGGACGAGGCGCCAAATTTGAAACAATTTGGCGGTCAATGCCAACACTTGGTTTTATCTCCCCACGTTGCAGAGCATCTGGACAAACTGCGGAGATCAACGATACGTCGGGAGTGAAGCGCTCAAGTAATGTAAATATGGTTTCCAACCTTATTGAAGGTTTTTGTTGTGGCTCTTGAGGCCTTGCAAGTTGGACGACCCTTATCTAGACAGTTGTAGCACACTGACTTTGGTTACAAACCATGGTGATGAAAGACCAGAATTGCATATTTTTTTCATGGATGATCTTAAAGCGTTTGTTAAGAATGAAGCGATTCACTCCCAAATGCTCTGTCATCAATGATTTTAGCAATATAAATGAAGTTTTGTCTTGACTAGTGTGGAAATATCAATTTAAAGAAAGGCAATATGAAATCAGAGAACACTGACACTGATATACTCACTGTAATTGAAGATCTTGAGTCAGATAAAACTTACAAATGTCTGGGACAGAGGTGTCCAACTTGCGAGGCCTCAAGGGCCACAACTACATTTGATATGTTTGGGGGCCATATTTTAATTACTAGGGCCATCAACGCCTACCTTCCCCGTATTGTTGATTTCAGCAATTTGCCTGGCTGCTATGAAACGCGGAGTGAATGAATACCATGTTAATATTTGGATGATTTTGAAATATACAAAGACATGGGAAATCAACAAATTAACATATTTACACATTGGGATGGATTTTAATTGGTGTATTTGCTAGAAAAACTCCTTAAATTTAAACTTGACCAATTTTTACATTAAAGGGGATGTCAACTTCATCAGCGCGCCTGAACTAGGCGTACAGTGCTCTCGATCGACATGGAGGAAAGGCACTTTCACTATTAACCTTTCGCGGTTCACAATAAATGGCTCCATGGGCCCCATGCGGCCAGCGGGCCGACAGTTGAGCAGCCCTGCTCTGGACATTGAAGAATGTGAGACCATCTCCAATAACACAATGAAAGAGAGAATTCGCAGGGAGTATTACAGAAAAGTGAGGCTCGTTCTGATGGTCACTGTGAACTCCAAGAATACAATATCTGCAATAAGTAGTTTGGTAGTGCCTGTAGCTGAATAGTTTCGGACTAGTGGACTGCACTGAGCAAGAAATTCGAATCAAGAATCGATACTATATAAGCTCTTATGAGAAATGAGAAAAAAGTGGTGATGAAAATTCCTGTAGAAAATTAATTTACAAAAGGCAAAAGTACAGGAAAAACAAAGAAATTCACCTTCAATAGTTTTGGTGCAAAACTAAAAATATGTATTACCTAAATAAGACATTATTTGAGATTACTATTTTGATGATAAAGCATTTTTCCCCGTTGAATCTTTCTGAAGTTTCATAACTTAATAAAGACCCAACCTAACAATATCATGTTGAAGGTGTGTAATTTACATATTTTTAAAAATCTCTCGTAGTAGGTAAATTCTGTTAAATAAAAACTGTTATCATACTATGAAAGAATATTCACAGTAGTTATCATTCTTTATAAAATGTAATGATTAATGAAGAAATATTATTTTCATTGTTGCCTTCAGTTCAGCAAACATGCCTTGTTCTACAAAGCAATTCAAATTTTGGATTAGAATAGCCTGTAGGTAAACGGTACGAACAGGCGGGAATAGATAATGGGGTGGGGAGGTTGAACAACAGTCCCAGCACTGGCTGGGGACCTTGTTTGTTTTTTTAGCAGTATTCTATGCTCAGTGGTTTCTCCCCTGCTGGAATAAGACCTGGTTTCAACCAACACATCAGCTTGCAAGTTTTTCCTTCTTTAGATACGTCCAAGAAGGGGGCATCACCTCACCCAGGACAAGCTCAAAGTTCCTAAATGGTCTCTTGGCATATGAGGTAGTGAAGTGCAGGTAAGTGAGAGATCAAAAGAGAGGAATAAAGATCACACATAAAAGAAAGGTGTGCAAAAAGATCATATGCAAGAAAGACAAAGGTGAAGGAAAGGTCACATGTGATATTGTGGTCTGTTTGTTAGGGAACAGATCTGGCATTCGCCTGGTATTGATTAGAAAAAGAACTAACGATCAGAGCACCTGGTCACTCAAATTTTCCTCCAGACAATGGCTGAACTGGATCCAGCTAAGAATCTAGTGTCAAAAATCCACCACCATCTAAGGCACGGTCTTCAAACCTTTGCTATTCATAAAATTTTTGATTGATTTTGACAAAGATGAAATGTCATATCCTTTGCCAATAACATGAAGATTGTTTGGTAATTCCCATATATATACATATACAAAGGATTCTACAGCATTTCAATATAAACTTAAGGTACACATAAATGCTATACCTCACCATTGCTCTGAAGTATTATAATTATTTCTTTATCTTTGCGCTGTCTGTAAGGTGTATGGCAGGTGTGTTGTGCAGGTTCCAATTTAGATAGATTTTTCTGTATTAAAATAAAGAACAAAAGTGATAGTTTTTCTGCTAAAGAACTTATGAAAGAAAATTGTTAAAGAAAACATGTCAAAAATAGGTAAAAGAGAACAAGGAACAATTTTTAATTATTTTGGAAACTCAATTAGATTATATCGCAAGGGCATGGAAGAAAATATTGAGGATCACAACAGAAAGTTGCCCATGAGCTCTGGAGAAAATGGATTGCTTTACTGATACCATCAACTCTCTGTAGCAGCCAAATCCTACAAATTATTGAAAGACTAAATAGGAAGATCAATATCCATAAAAGATAACATGCTATTGGATAAATACAAACTGTGTTGCTACCAAACAAAAAGTCTATTACATTTATTAGTTTAGTTCTATTGTATTTCCCTCAATAAGATCTATAACAGTGTCTCTGTCTGATCATGAACAATAAACAAATCAACAAAATAAAAAAATTTAAAGTACTTCTTGAACACTTCATGAAGTTATAAACATTTTACGGCATTATTTCAGTAATCTTACCCCAGAAACTCTCTCACCAGAGCCGACCGCAATAATTTTCTCATGTGCTCACTTTCATAACATAATATCACACTCTAGAACACTGCAGACAAGGGAAGTCTGAACAAATTAACAAACCCACTGAATCTGCCTATTGTACCCAATTGTGACCAGTGACTACCGACATCACAGTGCATATGGAAAGATAACAATGGTGATAATAATAATGCATGTGTGCAAGCAGTCATATATAACCACTAACTTTTTTTTTTCAATTTACAGTTGTTTTTTATTACTATTTTATCCCTCCCAAGAAGTTACTCAAAATACATCAATCTTGAGTAATTGAATCTCACAAGAGGAATTTTCATTACAATTTTGTGCCAGTCAGGTTATTCATATAATTCTCATATCACCCCAAGCAATTAAGATTAATTGTCCGAGGTGATATGAGTAATAAATTTTGAGAGATTTGAGAAATGACCAAAATGTTTGGCATATACATAATTTATTTGAATAAATGCTGAAAACCAAACCTGATCTAAGAATCAAATCTAAGTTCATTCATCATTTGATTAAGATGATTATTGTTAGTGTAAAAGAGACTACATCAACTCTTAATTAAATAATTTACAAATAAAAAATCAAATTCAAACAAAAATCATTTCTCACCATTGTTCTATACATGGAAGGCAGTAACTATGAGCGCATGGCAACATTACATCAGGCTTGCGCTCCAAACATATACAGCATTCATTTAATCTCTCTCCAGGAGGTGATGTCACATGATCAACTTCCTCAAGCAGCATCGTAGCAGTCAACTGCTTCATTTGGTTTTGGGCATCATAACCACCAGCCAATGTACTACTTGACATACTTTCTTGAAGAACTCTTTCATTTGTAGAACTCTGCTGTGCAGCAGTAAATTGACACTGTAGTGTATTGAAGACCTTAAACAAAATTATTTTGTAAATACTAGTTCAGAGAAACAAACATATGATATGAAGAAAATATTTTATGGAGATATTTATTACCTTCAAAAATTCACTCAAATTAAGAAGTCTGTATGTATCAATTTGTTTTGTAACAGGGTCTATCTTCACACATGCTATCCTAACAGTGCCTTTCCACAACACTGTAGAATCAGTTCCCTTTTTCACTGCAAATACTAATAATTTCCCATTTGGATCAGTGCATTGTTTTGATCTAGAAGCAAAGGCCAGTATACAATAGGTGTCAGTCACTTATTAAAATTATTATACAATATAATCAGGTCCTTGATAACTTACAACACGTTCAAATCTCTGATACATTTTTGAAAATCATCATAAGTGAGAGAGGCAATTTCTGTAATAATCCTGGCATGACGAAATATTTCTCCTTGTACATTTTCCATGGTTTCTGGGATGTGTTCGGTGCTCGGAAGCTGACCCATAATGCCTACCTTCACTTCATGTATTCGTCAAAATGTGTCTTTAAAAACAAATTGTGTTGCACCTTATCACTTGTTAATAATAGTGTTACAATATAGTTAACATTTTACAACATAAACTGTTGACAGCACTGTCAGTTGACATGCCATTCTACTGTAAATGCAAGGGTTCTTCACTGATTTCTCCCGTATTCAAATTCAAATCTAATAAGGAAATGACAGTTCACACACTTTCATCCCTATACGTCAAATTACAGCGACCTCCACCTGTCTCCAATGAATCCTCCCACCACCCCGAGTCGTCTCCCACTCGCCTCGAGTCGAACCAGGCACTGACCGGGTGTTCAATGACGAATCAAAAGGGTTGAAGTGAAGTCGACTCACAGTTTATTTTATCGGTTTTATCTGGGCGTGAATTTTTCTCTCGAAAGATTGTACGTTTAGCAAGTGTAGTATGTGAGACAAATGGTAAAAAATACGAAATATGTTCATTCCAGAAGGAAAAGGAAGTTCTTAAGATAGCAGTCATGTTGCAATGAAAAATAAACGCACCATAGCATAACCTGGACGACTTCTAAAGTGCTCTATCAATTGTACCTGTGCATACACTTGTGAACCTGTGAAAGCTAACGTGGAACTTGAAACATGAAAAGAAACATGCTTGTTATGTGTGATAAAAGTGAATAACATCTTAATAACGTTTATATCTTCGAATAAAGCTCAAGTGCCGCGATGAGAGAGTGAGGCCTAAATATTACTAAAGGGAAGCTATGGTGCACTTCCTTACTTGCATCGGACAGAGCTGATACGCAGAAATAATTACATCGGCGACAAGTTTATCCATTGATTGTGATTTTCTTGATTAGTTTCTACCCTATTCTCACCATGGCCCTTGTTTAAAAAAATGTGTTCTGTAAAATCCCTGTAATGCAATCAGTTGGAGGTAAGTTACTTTACGTCAAATATAATTATGGAAGAAAAAAATAGCCTTATTCCTGATATTACTGTTATGTTTCTAGGGTTAAACAAAACTTTGGAATGTGCAGACTGCAAGACATCTTTTACTTCTGCATCTTTACTTTTGAAGCATTTTGCTGAGCATATTATAGACCAAGCAACAGAAACAGAACTAAGTTTCAATAATGAAAGCGGAAATACTACCACACATAAAAAAATTAAATTGTCATTATTACAAGCAAAGAAAAAAGAAAGGAAGGAAAGTATTCTGGAAACTGTCTTGCGTCAGTCTGCTATTCAGTGTTGTAGATTGAATGAAAAACTGCCACCTGTAAGTAGTCTTCAGAATGACATAACATCTTATAGCAATACATCATCATCTGATTCGTTTAAATCTTCAAACAGTCAGAATTGTGTCACCAGAAACTTGGGTGTCACAAGTTGTGTGAAAGTGGAGGATGTTGCGCTTCCAGATGATATGGTTCTAGAAATAGGGCAGAGAGCAAAAGCAAAGCATAAGTTTTCCAATGACATGACACTAGTAAAATTTGATCTTCAGAAAAGACTGGAAAATTGTGTGTCAAGGTTAGCCCTGAAACGAGGATATAAAGAAGAAATATCCAAAAACTGTCCTGTGAATCACAAGCAAGAAAAATCCACTCCTGTTAAAATAAATGCTCTGCCCTTGAATAAAGAAGTTACCAAAAAATGTGAAGGAGAGGATTTCAGTCCCTTAAAATTTTGTGTGGTCACTTTAGAAGATGGTGTAGAGAAAGAAGATGCAGGATCAGTGGTTAGTGCTACTAACAAGCTATGCATTTCAAAGCCTTTGAAAGGAGCATCAAATAGGAAACAACTAATGCCAAAGAAAATTCATCGTCCCAAAGAGGACTCTGCAAGTGAAGTTTTGAAAACTGAAGTTTTATCTATATCTGACAATAAGAATTGTCAGAAACCCTCAACCAAGAGAAAGTATTTGTGCCACGTATGCTCAAAGTCATTTGGCTGGTCTACTGACCTCAAGCGGCACATTCTCACTCATACAGGTGAACGCCCATTCAAGTGCCAAATGTGTGATGCCACATTCACACGCAACTTTCTTTTGCAAAAGCATGAAAGCAGGGTTCATAGCTTAGATAATGTAGATAACAGGTTTACTCAGGAGGAAGTTGGAGAGTCTGTCAAGTCAGCTGGTAATAACAATGAAATGCTACCAAAAGATTCAGAGAAGCAAATATTGCCTGGAAGAGGTCAACAAAATAAAGTTTGGAAAAATAATCGATTATTAAGTGACAATATGAAAGATTCTCTTGTTGCAAGTTTGAATGAAACATGTGATAAATATGTCCCTGCAAAAAGAAAATTGCAATGTGAGGAGTCATCATTTGACCATTTCCCACAGAAAGTCTTCAATATTTTGTAGATTCTTTTTACACTGATGTTCAGTATTCATTATACACTACTGTTCTATAATATTTCTAATGAAAATATAGTATTAATATTTCTTATTAGATCCATCATTTTGTGAGGCCTATGTGTCCTGTAGAGAAAGCAGGAGGACCAGGAAGAAGGGAAGTGTGGATCTATCCTGATCTCACCGTTAATGCAGCACCTCTGGGTATGAGAATTATGTTGATAATAGTTATGATAAACATATTTATTATAATTTATTTATGATCAAATTGTAAATTGTCTTCTTAGTCACTATTACATTTTTCTTACATGTTGTGAAACTGATTTCAGTTTTCTTGACAAATAGAATACTAATGATCATATTTTGAATTTTATTTAATATTCATGAAAGCTTCACAAATAAATGCTTTGTTTCCAATGTTTTCTTAATTGTTGCTTGCATTCAGAGAGATTTGAATGTGAATCATGTCCTTTCTTCATCATTGATTGGATTAAAGGGTCAAGGGATGGTGCAAATGAGTTTTATAAAATAATTAAATGTACGGTGTGTGATGTAAATTATGAACAAATGTGGATAAACTTGTGATCTGGGTGCACTGCATTCATTATTGTGATGGTACAGAAATTAGGGGCTGAGTTAGTGCATTTTTAGTGTTGTAACAAAGCAGATTATATGGAAACTATGGTGGAAATGTATTTAAATATTTTAATTTAAGTGAATTTTATAATTAAAATGGTATAGAAATGTCAATCCCCCTTGTTTATTGTGTACTTCAATTTTTTTGAAATTTAAATATTACTATGTCATCAGCATATTTATTAAATAGGGAATGCCTTTTCTAAATTATTTGTAATATTATAGATGAACTATCTGCACTAAATGAAAACATGGCCATTTTTATTTTAGCATCTGGAAAAATGTGAAAAGTTCTCAGGGATCAAAAATTGTGACAAATAAACTAGGAGTTCTTATCTTTCATAGAGGATTACATGAGGTGTGACAAAGAATTATACATGCAGAAGAATATTTTAATTAAGAATTCATTTCATTCTCCCTATATGTGGAATGCATATTTTTTTTACAAATATGTGTGTTTGTTAATGAATTAAAACAACAAGTTTGTGAGATACTAACATACAATAAGCAAGAAGGTGGATGATCTCTCTATACCTTGGTATGAATTATATGTGGTGTGTGATTATGTTTAAACTGAGAAATATGTAGTTTAGATGTTATAGAATTTGACCAAATTTTTATAGCTTACATTATACAGTATAAGAAAATATTTTTGTAGCAGAGAATTCAAATTTTCAAAATAATGTTTAAGGCATATGATAAAGGCTGATGAGACATGTAGCAAATGTATTTATTTTAGATGAAAGTTGATATTTTAGAAATATCCATTGCAAGTACATATATTTTTCATAAAATAGATGGAATTATCTGCTTCAAATGAGTTGACTGTAATGGAAATAAAGAATGCATAATATATTTATTAGAACACTTTTGCAGTTGTTAGCAAGATCAATAATGGAGTTAATTGTAAGTTCCTAAGAAACCTATGACAATTACCTTTTTAAGTTTTCAGACTTTTCTTATTATTTGCTGGTGGTCAGAAAATATTTTTATCATTGTTTTGCCTCTCTAGAAAGAAAATAAATCAGTGTTTTGTTTCAGCATTTCATTGTAGGCAATGTGCATATATGTTAGTGTTCTATTGTTCATTCAATAAAATTTTGTTGTATGCTTGTCAGTTTCTCAAATCAGCATAGTTTGAGTTGTATTCTTGTCCATATTGAATGAAATGTCCAAATGAAAAGTACTTTGTTGTTAATTTTCTGATTCACAGATGTTTTGATTAAAATTTTTATATGAAACAAATATTTGTATACATCGGCCTACATATAGATTCATAAACTTTTTACAGAATTTAATTGAAATTATTACACTTTCTTTTCTACTTTCTTCCTAAATATATGTTTTTACATATAACTATTTTATTCTGAAAGTTATTTTAATCCTGAATTTCTCAGTGAGCTAGAAAACTAAATTGATATTTGAAAAACTGGGTCTTTTAATTTCGTGAAAATTGATAATCATAATTTGTTGACATAAATATTTAAGAATGGATTCAGCTCTAAATTGTAAAGGGATGAATACATCAACACATGTTATCTGCTAATCATTCGTTGTAACAAATATGATAATGATGGTATATCACAGTATTACAAGTTTAAAAAAAAGAAAGAAAGATAAAGATTAAAACTACAAATATTTACATATGTTTCATCAGGAAGGTTTTCCCACCTCTTTAATGTGTTCTGTCCAAAAAATCAAAATAAATGTTGATATAAGATTGGATCTCCTCCTCTTGCGGGATCAAACAAGGATAGTATAATGGAGAGAAGAGTCCTACAGAATAACCACAAATCATTGTGGTAAAGAAGATACAGTCCAGCACACCCCATTATATTACACATGTATGTATTTACCAGAGCGAGAACCAGTCAAAGGGCATGTTTCTAAGGCCAAAGCTAGACTAGCACATATGGAATAGTAACAGCATAACCTGTAGAGCATACACTCCTCTTGGCTGGCATCCACTTCTGGAAATATAAATATGTGTAATGTAGTGGGTTTCACTGATATGGTTTCTGATTACTCTGTCATTCAAAAACACTGCAAAACTGGGAAACCTTCCCAATGAAACGAATGTGGAGAATATTAACCTAATTTTGTTTTATGATTTGCAGTATTGTGATAAGCATCCCTATAAATATACAAACTAGAGTGAAAAAGAGTTCTCTTAACTGAGATCCTATTCAAGGAAGGTTTGTAACTACTATTACTGTTGTTTGCGAGGGACTTTAATAATTACAGAAAAGTATTTCAGCTCTTGTGTGTCTGGAAAAAACAACTTTCAGAATTAATCTTGTTAAATGTTGTTTCCTATATTTAGAATGATTGTTTTTAAAGGTTTTCTAATTTTTATTTTGAAAAATAAAAATTAAATGTTAACTTATTATTGACATAGGGCAACGTTGGTTGCACACATGCAAAAGGTTTTATGAGCCTTCTACTTTAAGTATTTTTTATGTTGGTCAACATTTGTACTTAAAACACTTACTTGATATGAGAGAAGAAGTCTTATCTAAATGCCTGTTAAATTAGAGAATTTAATTAAATTTGATGCAGAAATTGCTTGTAACTGGTGTAATTTGTCTGAGATTTTGTCAGGATTTCTTAGTTCATACGACAGAAGCTAAAATAGATCAGAAATACCTATCAGGCATTAAAATCTTTTTTGTTATTGTTGTTGAATCTGAAGTAATCCCAGAATTATTGTGAAACCTTCAATAATATGAGACTGTTTTAATTGTGTATGCTTATCGTTATACAAATAAGTTTTATTGCACCTTTTCATTAACCTGTTGGGCTCATTATATTCTCAAAGTAATAGAAAATAATATACAGTTCTTGTAACACTGATTACGAGATTCCTGTATACATGTTCAATGTTAATTTTGATTGTATGAAAATGCAGTTATATTAATTTTCTGTGCAATACTTTCCTTTTATTTCAATAAAGTTGCAATATGAGAAGGTATCAGACATTTAATATTATGTATTTTATTAAATTGCTACTATTTGTTATTTTTTCTAATCAGGTTAATTGATCTATATTTAATTTAATTATAACTCTTGTTACTGTAGGCTGAAATGGTGCCTGCATGACACCATGTGCCATTTGTATTTAGAGAGTATGGAATTTTCTTAATATTTGTCCTATTTATTTAATTTCTGTTAATTTTAGAACTTTTTTAAATTCTATTTTACACAAAGAACTGTACTTTTCCTTGGCAAGTATTAGATAAATGAGAGAAGCTATGTTTCTTATAATGCATTTCCTGAATTCTTAATTTGTGTAGTTTCAAGATCTCAATTTTATGCATCTTAAGAATGTTTATGGAATAACCATGAGGTGTTGTAGTTTCTGTGAAACCAAAGGCATTTCTTGTTTGTTTATCTACATTAATAAGTATTATTGGTTATGTATTTCTTGTCTTTTGTCCGTGTGGGATGTTCAGTACGATGATTGGTATACTTGTTTCATTTATGTAGGGCGTATTAAGAGGCTTCACTCTCAGAATTGTATGCTTAATTTAATGCCCGCTTTTTTTATTAAATGACTCCTCCTTTAAATCAATGTATGAGTTGGAATTCAAATATTCTAAGAACATTTAGGAAGAATTGTATAAATTTCTATTTCATTTGGTTAAAGGAGAAACAAATATCTACGCACATTTCTTCTAATCAGTTAATTCTTTACAAAGTGACTAAATAAATTGTATCATGTGGAGGATATAAAAACAAATTTTGTTTATTTAAAGAAATTAATGTATTCAGGATAACTTTGTAATGAAGTACATTAGAGTATTGGCAGATCGTTAAGAGTTGATACAAATTGTCTAACTGAACTAATTTTACTAAGGACATCTATATTCTGCTTCTCTTCATATGTTAGTGAAGTTCATTCTCTAAGTATTATTATTTTTAAGTAAAACTACCAGCATAAACTTTTCTACGTATAACAGAAACACATTTTGCAACATAACTTTTTTCATATAATTCTAAAATGCAGAAGAGTTTGCAAAATATAATGTTTAATTTGTTAATAAGGATATTGATCCACGACTGATATCTGTGCAATATTATAAATATTGAAAAGATAAATAGTTGATATAACTATCTGATATCCCACCCTGGACATCAGAAGGAAATTGTTAACACTAGTCTTCATCATCCTGAATTGGTAGTCATTAGTGTGATTGGGTTATCTTTATCTTTTTGTTATTGAATATGTCTCTGAGATGTTGCAGGAATGAAAACTTCACTTTTCTGAACAATTCAAGATAAACAGAATAGAAGTCATGTAAAGATAGAAATCAATTATTTATGAGTTCCTTGTTTTAATGTTTTTTGTTGTGTTGTTAACTTCCAGTTTTTAACCTGTGTTGTAAATGTCAAAACTGGTAATAAATATTTACTTTTCATGTCTGTTACTCTACTATGCAATACAGGTGCAATTGTTTCACATTTTACCATGTTAGGTTGAAGTCATTTTTACGAACTGTGTGAATCAGTCTAAACTCACAAATCTTTTATGAAACTTCAAATCTGTTAAAACAGCAAATTTATTAACAAAATAGTTCCAAGTAGATTCTTGGTAATGATGTAGAAATTTGAAAGCAGAAGGGATCACAGAAACTTTTAATTTCAAATCTCTTATTTTCATCACTATTGTGATATTGTGTTGAAACATGTATTTTATACATGTAAAATTAATATGAGAAATGCAGATTTTTGAAAACATTGCATTGAATGTAATATTGTAGAATTGTACATATATAAATTCTGGTGAAGTGTCTTGGTTTACTTGTACACTAAAGTACAATGAAGACAATATACATTATTGGTGTTCTTCAGCACTTGAAAAGTGTCTTTATGTTAGATCATGTTTACCAGAGTATTTGATGTAAAATATTGTGTGTTCATATTTTCTGAAAAAATTACAATTATTGTTATAAAATTGTTGGCATTTGATGTAATTTCAATGAGCATGTCAAGAAATTGCTAAATGTGAAGCACTTCTAGTCTTAAACAGGGGTTGTGCAGAAAAAATTATTGTTGTGATGGGGAATATGGTAATTGCACATGGTTTCCTCAGATAACTTTTTGTTACAAATCCACATGGAGAGCAGTACAATTTATTGTAATGGAAAATTAATGTTGTAAACATTTTCATTTATACAGAAAGAATGTTGTAAAGACAATGTCATGGTAAAAGTATGGATTAAACAAATTTTATATAATTCTTCCAATTGCACAGTCTATCTTTGGATGAAAATCATATTATTCCTTTTTCCACTTTTCATCCATCTTTTTTATTATTTTTTATTTCATTATTATTATTATTATTTTGTAGGCATTAAGAAAATGAGGTGCCTCCAACTAGTCAATATCATTGGCTGAACAATAACATTTTATGTATTTCTTTATAGAGGAGAGCATTATTACTGTGCTTCAAATCCTATCCTTCAGTATATAAAAAAATGGATAAATGTAACTCTATGTACTTAGGGTAATATCTAGTTGCTGGTCATTTCAGGTATTTAATTCTGTAGTTCCTTTATTTACAAACTACTTAAAAGTGTGACAAAAGTAGTTGGTATAAAACTTATGTATACTTAGAAGCAAGGCTGTGTTTGATAAAAATTTAATAGGGGTGCTTATTGTGTAAAGAATCTAAATTGGATTTTCCATAATAAACATTACCTTTTGATTTACATTTTCTTTTATTTTCCTTGGCAATAGATCCATGTCTCATGAACATAAAATACCTGCAAATTTCTGTTTAGTGTTATAGTACCCAGTTGTTTGACAATTTAAATCAGCAAATCTAAAATGGGATGTGACTTGCACTAAATACTTTAATCCTACATTTTCAATTACAGACCATAATGGAAATTATTAATGTTGACGTTTTTGCAGCATTTGGAGGAGCAGAATTATCAAGTGAAGTATAGAGAAAATTGTAAATATCACCAAAAACATTTTCAAATCTACAGTATAAGAGCATGAAGTGAGTACAGAGGGAGGGAAGAACAGTCGAGAAACAAATAAATTAAGATAACAATAAACCATGTTCAGATTGAATTTTTAGAACTCGCTTTAAGAGAAGTATAAACGATCCAACATGATAAGTTTGGGGATTTGGTTGCAAAATGATATTACATTTAAATTTGACTTCAAATAGGTTAAAACTGGTGACATATGTCACAAGTAAAAAACTGGCCTAAAATTTAAATCGAAATATTAAAATCAATGAAACAAAATTTAGCAAGGAAGGAAAAAATTCGTAATAAGAAACACAATAGCCTATTGCTATATTTCACCAAAAATACAGTCCCTAAAAAATTAAATAACAGATCGAGATCCTAATAGCTACCCATTATAAACTTGCATCACTAATCCATTTTAGTGAGCACTGGCTCAGAAAGGAAAACAAATCTCACACATATGCTTCCTTCTAATTGTAGGCTATTTGAGGCAAATCCAAACCCTAATTCTAGGGCACATGGTGGATCATGAAAGTAGTACAGGTGTAGGATCATGGAAGTAGTATAACTATGGATCACCCCTGTAACTTCTAAACGGCTCATGATATTAAAATACAATTTTTGCTCTACAATGCCCATGGGGAAAGTAATATATCCTAGAGATATTGTTTGATATATTTTTTGTTGTCAAGATATTTAATAATCTTTGATTTTTTTTATGAAACTATTTTTCTCACTGGCAATAGATCATAAAAAGAAGAA